CATATCAGAACACTCCATCACAACACAGTATGATGTACATGTATAGGCAAACTAAAAGTCAATTAATTTTAACAATAACATATTAGATATGCATAATTTGCACAGATAAGCACCACAGTCAATGGAACTGTCTTGTTTGGGTACAAACTGTTGCAATAATAAACAAAAATTTGTAAGTTTGTACATACCACTTCATAGTATGTTTGTATAGTCTGAAAAGTTAAACTTCTGTGTGTGCACCCCTACCTTTTTTGACAACACACTATTCAATTTGAACAACAAAACATTAATTCAAATAAAATTTTGATTCATACCAGCACTTGCTTGTTTTGTCACAGTAAAATATTTTTCAATAGAATCAAAATTAAAAAATTGATTTATGACGCTTAATAACCTATAAAATCCGCTATTAATATTGTAGACATATAAATTTTAAAAAGAACTTACAATTAAAATCTAGTGGCTTCTGACATGACAAGGCATTACAATGGATTCAACTTCACTTACATCATATATAATCCTAATTTTATAGTGTTAAAACATAAATATTATACGTACAACTGTGATGAAATGACTTACATAAAAGTATCAGTCAACAGTCTCATCAGGTTGATTTGCAACCAATTTACTGAAGACTGCTGTTGGTAACACACAAAACATAATTATTACTCTAAAAAATTGCAGTTTTTATTTAATAATAGTCATCCTATATAGTCTACATTGTATTCCTGCTTATATTCACTGTAAATAGTAATTCCTCTTTGAATATATTGATTGAAGATATAGACTTGCACCAAATAATATAGAAAAATCTTTAAAATGGTGTCACTGAACTCCTATTAAGAATAAAAAATAGAATTCAAGTGATGGTTCAGTATTGTGATGCTTCATGCAGCCTGTAGTAGCAATTTTGGCATTGATAAAGTTAAATTTTTGCTAACATGACCTCTTCTATTGGTCCTAGCATAGTTAATACGTACATAAATTTATTGTCCAAGTA